GTCTATACGGTATTGTAGGTAATGTCTATACGGTCTATACGGTTGTATACGTCGGTATTGTCTATACGGTCTATACGGTTGTATACGTCGGTATTGTCTATACGGTCTATACGGTATTGTAACCCTAGCAATACCGTTTCTTGGAGCTACACCGACGTCACCGTGACCATGTAGTCACGTTAATTGCATATCCCCATCTTCCTGCTTAGCCTTATGTTGTATCCAACACAGTAAATAGAGAACGCTACATTCACCTGTCACAAAAGACGGTTGATTTACTTAATTAATACTTTGCAGCGTTGCTGATGAGTGTTGTTGACTGTTGTTGTTATTGACATTGTTGCCATGTTCATTGTTGGGACTTGGGGGAATTTGGTAAAACGTCACCGCCACCGGGGATGAAAGCCGGTAAAAGATGAAGTCACACACAAACATTCCACATTATTATTTATTTAACAGTTATAGATAATTAACAGCATAAATATACTCACTTGATCGAGGAATATTTTGGCAAGTGGCCTGCAGACTGCAAATTCGCATAACTTGCTTTTTCCCAAGGTTTCACGGGTGCAGCCATCATGCAAACAAGTGAACAGTTGTAGAACGTAGATGGTCACGTACGTCGCCGCAGGACCGCATGATGTTTTGGGACTGAACTTCTGCAGAGGGCAATCTGACGACTAGCAGCAGAGTTGTTAGACTTTCTACTCTATCCTGAATTCACAACTTCTGTTGATATTTCGTTGCATCAGCATGTCCACACACGAATAATGGTATCTGAATACAGCCTTCGGTAAGAAACCATCCCAGCCTAACTGCTAATCATACTAAAAAATAATCATTGTAGTAAAGTGGCAATTCATTGTCAGTGTCAGTGCCAGTGGCGCTCAGTCATAGACTAGTGACAGTCATACTATAGGGTCTATGTCCCCCAGGGTACTGGCCGGAACGTACCCTGGTCACTATTTGATATGGTTAGGGTTAGGGTTGGGGTTAGGGTTAGCTCTAGTACTATAGCCCGCGTACAGTTGCCGCTGGGGACTCCTTACATCTAACAACGTCACAGTATGTATGCACTACAATAGTCAATACAGTGGCATGATATATCGATGGATGCAATATGGATGGATATCGATGAAATGTCGCAACCTATATGCCCATCGCAATATGCACAAATCCACTGTTCTGCTATATATATATGCTAGATATATGCTGTAACTATGACGTCATAATCGGAAACATGAGAACATCACATTGGTCTCCCAAGATGGATACGGCAAGTTCAAGCGCAAGTCACGATTGCAGGGGTTACAGCTAGACTGGTGCCCACCTTGACTCCGCCAAGTATCCTTGGCTACAATGAACTCAGTTAGTGTAGCGTGTCGAACTGTCGAGCGGGTAGCAGTCTAGCTTAGCCGCCGAAGCCGTGTCCAGAAAAACTACGCGCAAATGCCATGAACATCTAGGCTCGTTGCGCCGTCTATCGCACGCCATATGTTCTAAAATAATGTCAGGGCATGAAACAGCAAAAATGGTTAACTCGGTTTTCTACAGAAAAACGAAGCGCGCCGAGCAGCAAACCAACAATTACGACCATTTGTAGGAAAAGTTCTACCTACGTGCGTAGTGAAAAGGCTTGCGGAATCGCCAGAACGGCTCAATTGAGCAATTATCCACCAATCTTGGTATACAGTAAACCTGTGAAGATTTACTCCAATCGAATGCAGCGTATTTGTGTTAGTGTGCCGCTCCGGGCTGCCAATTGTCCAGAGGCCACATACTACATGAACAATGCGCCCCTAGCCAACGCAACGGAAGAAAAAGACTTGGGAATTATAGTACATTCATCGCTCAAACCATCACACAGCGCTGACCTACCATTTTTATCACTTTATTGAAAGGACCATGAAATGTGCTTTCCACTGACGTGCGAAGAGTAAGTGTCTGATAACCTTTTGACCCTTAAGAGAAGGGTTAAACATGGATTCCTGAACTGCCTCAATGATGTCACAGTGTTCTCATATTCATGGCACATCCATAATCTAGAAAGCCAATAAGCCTGGATAGCCCAACGGGTACAGCACAGGATTATGGCTCAAGGTCCTTGGATCGAATCCCATCAGATTTTTTATTATTTAGCTGTTTTCTTTATTCATTTAACTATTTTTTCCAATTAACGCAAATATTTACATGATTTATTTACAACAATTTAATAATAACAAATAATTTTTACAATTAATTTTTTTTTTTATAGGGTTAGGGTCACAATGCACCATAAAACAGGAGTTTCAGGCACGCAATTTGTATCAACCAATGGGATTTTGGAGGTATTCAGAATGCAGGTTGCTGAAATGATGTGTACGCAACTGCGTATCTGCACATCTGCACCTAACAAAGGTATCACTACGCACGACTTAAATGTTACGTTTATAACCGTAGCAACAGACCTCAGATGAGCCCAGACGCTCTGCGGCTCTTGTTTAATGCACACTTCATAAACATGAGGATCTGACCCGATACATCACTAATCGGGAAGTAAACAACGTGTAGTCGACGCAGTAAAGATAGCAAGTGATGAAAAGTCGGTGGCGATTTTCTCGTCATTCACCTTTTGGTGCAACGGTGATATGCTGCCCAGCTCTGAATGTCAGTTCTCCCTCCTGTGCAGTGGTGAAGTCATACTCCGCTAAGGCAACAAAATGATCTCCGCCATCGGCCCACTCGTTAGAGTCTGCAGTGCAAAACATCGCTAATTACCTCCCAAACACAAATATGAGATGTAATACACTTGGGTGTACTGGAACTGTAGTTGTTAAGATACATAGCAACTCTCACCAGCACTTTCAGACTCCATCATGGACTTGAGCAGTCGCCAGATGATCCAAGGTCCACCCAACACGACAGAAAAGAACAGGAGGATGGGCCAGGTCGACTTGCCCCTGTGCAGAAATAAAAGACGAATTGGGTTTTGACGACACAGGATTTTTACCAGTGTTTACCATTAACTACCTACAGAGGCATAGCAAACAAACAAGTAGAAGTAGGAGCTTGACATCCTGCAATAGATACATGTACCTGCTGATGGGTCACTTGTAAGTTGCAATCTATTATTATTTACACCTAGACCTACTTTGCATTTCCATCACCGTGATAAGCAACCCCAGCAGTCTCCGCAGCCTCAGCCCAAGCATCCTCCGGCAGGCCTGATTGACGCAACCGCAGCAGCACAAGTACTTGTCTTACCACCCACTTCAAGGTTTTAACCAAAGCCAATGCAGACAGAATTTGAGTCATATGATTCTTCAACCTAAAACAAGAAAAAATTACAAGTCCTTTGTAAGTAAACAAGTATTTATCGAAACCTTTTCTCAATAGAAAGTGTGTGCATTATATTAAATATCACTGGCAAAAAATTACCTGTCACAGTTACAGCATACAGCTCCCGCACAAAAGTAATAAACAAATAAATCTGAAAATCTGAAATTACCTTGAAAAGTGATCTGCAACCCCTAGTACTGCCCTGAAGGAGCTGTACAATGCATTGTAGGTGGACTCCAACATCATGCTAACAGATCCAACAGTATGCACTATGGATTCTATTGACTGGAAAGCATTTCTGGAAGCAACAGCCCCATTGTGATTAAGCAGACACTTATTGGTCACAATCTAGATACTTTATTGATATTTCATTCCTGTGTAAATAGTTTTATCGGCTATGATTAGATATGTAAATTAAAAATTTATTATACTTGAAGAGGCAGAGAATTATACTAGAGATATTGTCAGTAATTCCTGCTTTTTCTGAACATGGTTTTTGTCTATACTCAACTTCTGCATACTAAGATAAATTATGCACTGTGAGTGAGGCTTCGCATACTTTGAAATTATTTATGGTGATCGATTAAACTAACAACTCACCTAGAACTATCTTCTGCTATACGTACGAATGAGCTCTCTTCTTGGTTTCCAAAGGCAGGCCTACCATAACCTCCATAAGTTCCATTGTAAATGCCTCCTACTCCACCAATCATGCCACCATTGTACATATTTCCATATCCACCATGATTTCTAAAAGCAGAAAAATGAACACCACTATTAGAAGTAATTCTACTTCTGTGTAGAAAACATTAAATTAAGCTTAAATTTGTTTCTTATACAACTAATAAACAATGCAGTAAACAACGTACCCCAAGGGCGAGAAACCTCCGTATCCTGGCGAGTAGCCATAGTTGTTGGCCTGCTGCTGCAATGGCCTTAACGGTACTGGTGGGGGTCGATAGCCACCTCCTCCTCCCGTGTCCCCTAATGTAGTGGCACTGTAGTTTCGTACAGCTGGGCCATGAGGATTTATCACAGGCGGACTATTTAAAACGTACAGTAAAAAGGCATGATTAGTAAGGCCGACCAAAAAATTACCTTTGGTTCGGGTCACAGCCGCAACACCACTTCTACATTTCGGAGTGATAAAATGTGCGACTGCGGTCACTTTTAGATGGTTTCAAGAAAAATAAAATTCAAAGATAACGGCCCGCCGATCATACATATCAAATATCCGACTCTTGTCATTTATTTACCTAAAGAGAGTTCCAAATATTTTATAACAGAACTTCGTTGGCGAGAAGTGAAACAGTTCGTACCTACGTTTCTACAACGTGAAACAGTCGTATAGAGCCTGGGCCGGCTACTTCATAAACAGAGCCTGAAGGTCGTATGGCGCGGCGGCCGGCTTTGATGTACGCGCATCGATCGCGTACTATATAGTATACGCATGCTATCGTGCTATACGCGGCCGCAGAGCCGTTTACACTTCGGTTACACGCTCGTTCAAAGGGACGATTAATCGAGATTCGAGCTCCGTTTTTGGACCGATTCCTAACACTACTATCCAAGTGTTCACATTTTGAAAACAATGTCATGTTATCTAGGCTAAAAGTTGTCAGAAAAAACTCATTCAAAATGGCCATGTTACGGTCTATAGCCCTGCGGCAACTGTACGCGGGCTATAGTTACTAGAGCTACCATAATGTAGGCAAAACACATGGAAGCAGAGCACATGGCACATCGCTTTAGAGATTGACTATGGAGATCGACTGAACAATATGTATTTGTGTTACAGTTTAGTGTGTTTACCAAGGTTCATCTTATCATTGAGTAATCTGATCCAGAGAGACCGGGTACAAGATGGCGTTGCGCAAAAGATGCGTTGTTCCCCGACCGCCGAGAGCGGTTAAGCCGCGCCTTCCGCGGGACTGGGCGCACGCGACCGCGTGTGTCTCGCGACCTCGGTGTGTCACAGCATCTCGCGCTGCCCGCTATACGAATTCGCGCGCGAAGGAGGGCGGCGCGCGCGAATCCGTATAGCGGGAAGCGTAACATCGCGCAGTTTTCGTCACACACCGGCTCGGCTATGGCGGCCTTCGGTGGGGCATTTGCTGCCTCTGCTGCTGCAGAGCCGCGCTGCGTGGCAGTGGCGAGTTTTTGTTGCTGTTGCTGCTTTGCGAGTATCTACTTAGCTACGTGTAAAAAACTGGCACGGCCACGCCACCCCGTGTGCTCGCAGTATTCGCTTGCCATGCCAGCGCAGGTGCTCGCACGAGCGTGCCGTCGCCACGGGCAGCGCGGGTCATTAGGTTGGTAAAACTCGCACGTACGTAGTCAGGCGCCGGCACGGCGGGTGAGCGCGTTTGAAGATAGCATCTAGGCCACGCCACCCCACGTGGAGCGCCGTACGACACTTCGTAAAAAGCTCTGTGAATAGACATAACTCTATACTCGGCAGTTAGTGCCCGTCATCGCGTAGCGGCAATGAGCGAGCGGCGTCATCGCTGATTGAGAGCATTTCTGAATTTTTGTTAGGAGCCACTACGCAGCCTAAATAATACTTTTTTTTATTACGAGAGCTCTTTTTGATTTTGTATGAAAAAAAGAGCTCTCGTAATTTTGTTTACGGAGCTATTTTGAGCTTGGCCAGAGCTACTTTTTCATAGCATGATTTTGTTAAAATTTTCATAATTTTGATGCACTGACTCTAATAATGTCTCAGAAGCGCAGAAATTGTGTCTAATTATCGTAAAGGTGTTTCCCAAACAAAAGTCAAGATTATGCTTTGGCGAAATCGACGAGGTCACAAATTATTCCTAATGTGACAAAATCACGGAGGCCGGGTTTACATGTTGCTGTATGCATGTTGTGTACAAAGTATGACTGCATGCACTGATTGTCTCATTCGCATTGTTTTTAATTCAAATCTCGTTATGTCTAGCCATTCAAATAAAAAACTTGCCTTGCCCGAAACAGGGACAGTGCAATTTCAAGCTACCTGCCCCGTGGAGAATTTTGCGTTGCCCCGGCCCATCGGGGCCATCGGGCAAGCGGGTTTTGTCGAGCCGGCACCGCAGGGTTCGAATTTCGGCTGAAAATCTAGTGGACAGCAGGACTAGATAACCAGGGTACGTTCGGCAGTACCCTGGGGACATGTTGTGGGGAAGGTGCAAGTGTAACCTTCAGAAAGTTGGTGCGACGCTGCACAAAATTTGGTGGTCAGTTATTTACTAAGGCATGAGTAACAAAAAAGTATAAAAGATAACCATTGAAATTAAAACAGCATACCATAACAAATTTGACAAATTAACAACATTGACAAATAGGTGTCTTCATTAACTCTTGATGTAACTTAATTAGAGTTGGGCAAATAATGTTTCAATCTCTAGGAATGTCGGGGGAGCTTCTGGGTAAGGTTTTACTTTCTGTTTTTCTCTCCCCAGTCCACGTACCCCATGCATAGATCTATCAATCCAACAAAGTTACAAGTGCCTAGAATCTTTCAAGTATATACAGTTTACATTGTCTTCTAAATATCTACCTGAATAAAAACAGTCCACTTTCTACGTGGACGAATTCAGAAAACAGCTTTGATTACCGTGCGTGTCAGGTGTCACTGGTCGTGCCTAAACTTCCACAATAACCCCTGCGATATATAAACTTATTGTTACGCGATTATAAAAACACATTGATTTCTGTAAGACTGTCGCGAGTTTTTGTTCGTGTGGCGAATCATGCGTTGAGGGAGTTCATGCAGCTCTAGATGTTTTGCCACTTTGGATACGCCTAGCTGTCTACGTTGAGGAACGGGTCGTAATGCTGCCGGCGCACCGAAGCGATTTTTTCTCGTAGCTTCCAAAATTTTCGCTCTCGTAATTGTTGTTACCAGAGCGCTTTGAAAGCTGACGGAGCGAAATCGCTCGCCGCTCCCGTGTATTTTTTCGCTGCCACTACGTCTTAGCCATGAGGCGCGCCACTCCAAAAAAGTTTGGACCGTTTGGAGATGGCCTCAAGCTGTCCATCCCGAAATGTCGGTTGGATTGCGCCCAGTTTTCCGCCGGAGTGCGTTTTCAGACCCCTGTCTCAGATATCTGTCTAAATGGACAAAAAGGGGGCGGCGTATTCGCTGTTGGGGCGCGGCTTTGCCGCGAGCTGTGCGCTGTGCGCAAAAACCGGGGCCGCAAGTCCGTCAAGTCTGGTTAAATGCGTTACAGTTTGAGTGACAGAGTAATCGAGTAATTGAGTAATTACCTCGATTAGCATTGATTAGTAAAGTTGGTTAGTTTTGACAAATCGTTTAATCGTCAAAGCCAGATTTGTTTGTTTCCAGTTATCATACTGTTTGAACCTCAAGAGTTAAAGATTTTATAATTGACCCGTTTGGTGTAGTAATTAAATTAGTACATGTATCTTAGGTACCCTATGGAACTATCTACAAGAAAGGGGATGTCACGTTCAGTGATGTGTCTGGTGTTTGTGTTCTCTGCCACCAGGTGTCAGTGATAGTACGACCATGAGAATATACGCTACACCGACGTTAGCCCGACCAGGTTGTGCGACGGATTGTCTATACGGTATTGTCTATACGGTCTATACGGTTGTATACGTCGGTATTGTCTATACGGTCTATACGGTATTGTAACCCTAGCAATACCGTTTCTTGGAGCTACACCGACGTCACCGTGACCATGTATGATGTAGTCACGTTAATTGCTAGCTCTACTCTAGTACTATAGCCGCTTACATGATTAACTGCCGCTGGCCCAGCGGCAGTTAATGTAAGCGGCTATAGTACTAGAGCTAGTTAATTGCATACCTATCCCCATCTTCCTGCTTATGTTGTATCCAACACAGTAAATAGAGAACGCTACATTCACCTGTCACAAAAGACGGTTGATTTACTTAATTAATACTTTGCAGCGTTGCTGCTGAGTGTTGTTGACTGTTGTTGTTGCCATGTTTATTGTTATGTTAGGACTTGGGGGAATTTGGTAAAACGTCACCGGGGATGAAAGCCGGTAAAAGATGAAGTCACACACAAACATTCCACATTATTATTTATTTAACAGTTATAGATAATTAACAGCATAAATATACTCACTTGATCGAGGAATATTTTGGCAAGTGGCCTGCAGACTGCAAATTCGCATAACTTGCTTTTTCCCAAGGTTTCATGGGTGCAGCCATCATGCAAACAAGTGAACAGTTGTAGAACGTAGATGGGCACGTACGTCGCCGCAGGACCGCATGATGTTTTGGGACTGAACTTCTGCAGAGGGCAATCTGACGACTAGCAGCAGAGTTGTTAGACTTTCTACTCTATCCTGAATTCACAACTTCTGTTGATATTTCGTTGCATCAGCATGTCCACACACGAATAATGGTATCTGAATACAGCCTTCGGTAAGAAACCATCCCAGCCTAACTGCTAATCATACTAAAAAATAATCATTGTAGTAAAGTGGCAATTCATTGTCAGTGTCAGTGCCAGTGGCGCTCAGTCATAGTGACAGTCATAGGGTCTATGTCCCCCAGGGTACTGGCCGGAACGTACCCTGGTCACTATTTGATATGGTTAGGGTTAGGGTTGGGGTTAGGGTTAGCTCTAGTACTATAGCCCGCGTACAGTTGCCGCTGGGGACTCCTTACATCTAACAACGTCACAGTATGTATGCACTACAATAGTCAATACAGTGGCATGATATATCGATGGATGCAATATGGATGGATATCGATGAAATGTCGCAACCTATATGCCCATCGCAATATGCACAAATCCACTGTTCTTCTATATATATATGCTAGATATATGCTGTAACTATGACGTCATAATCGGAAACATGAGAACATCACATTGGTCTCCCAAGATGGATACGGCAAGTTCAAGCGCAAGTCACGATTGCAGGGGTTACAGCTAGACTGGTGCCCACCTTGACTCCGCCAAGTATCCTTGGCTACAATGAACTCAGTTAGTGTAGCGTGTCGAACTGTCGAGCGGGTAGCAGTCTAGCTTAGCCGCCGAAGCCGTGTCCAGAAAAACTACGCGCAAATGCCATGAACATCTAGGCTCGTTGCGCCGTCTATCGCACGCCATATGTTCTAAAATAATGTCAGGGCATGAAACAGCAAAAATGGTTAACTCGGTTTTCTACAGAAAAACGAAGCGCGCCGAGCAGCAAACCAACAATTACGACCATTTGTAGGAAAAGTTCTACCTACGTGCGTAGTGAAAAGGCTTGCGGAATCGCCAGAACGGCTCAATTGAGCAATTATCCACCAATCTTGGTATACAGTAAACCTGTGAAGATTTACTCCAATCGAATGCAGCGTATTTGTGTTAGTGTGCCGCTCCGGGCTGCCAATTGTCCAGAGGCCACATACTACATGAACAATGCGCCCCTAGCCAACGCAACGGAAGAAAAAGACTTGGGAATTATAGTACATTCATCGCTCAAACCATCACCGCAGTGTGCGCAAGCAGTCAAGAAAGCCAACAGAGTACTAGGGGTCATTAAAATGTGCTTTACGGACAGGTCAAAGCGTACAATCATTCCCTTGTACAAATCGCTAGTCCGGCCTCACCTAGACTATGCAGCCCAGGCCTGGAGTCCATATCTGGTAAAAGACATTCAGCTCATAGAAAAGGTCCAGCGGAGAGCTAAAAAATTGCTGAGAGGTCTCGAACAACAGCCATACCATCATAGACTCCAAACTAAATCTCACCACACTGGAGAAACGGAAGGAGAGAGCAGATCTTATTGAAGTTTTCAAACTCATCCAGGGCATAGACAAAGTAAACTATAGGATTTTTTTTACTAAATCACATGTCACCCATACAAGAGGACACAGTATGGAACTTTTTAAGGACCGGAGCAGGTTAGAAATACGAAAGCACTTTTTCTCCCAGAGTTGTCGACACATGGAATAGCCTCCCTCAAAACATAGTAACGTCGAAAGACATTCTTGACTTCAAGATCAAGCTTAGCCGCCATTGGTCGAGCCAGGGTTTATAAATAAGCAATAGCTGCCTAACCCTTCATAGCCATGCATCGACATAATGTTGTGTGCATATACGTATAATACGTTCCGGCAGTACCCTGGGGGACATAGACCCTCTCAGCATCAGTGACAATGCCAGCTAGTGGGTTTAGTAATACCTGGTCTGTAGTACAGACTACAGTCTCAGACACTGAGACAGTAGTCACTAGTCAGTAGGCCCTATCATGGTTTTACAGTACCATAAAGTACCATATGGTAGTCTAAGTATAGACTCTTAGCTCTAGTACCAGAGCTAATAGACTATAAATAAAGCAGTGCCAGTGGTGATGCATAGTGCCAAGGTATCTCATCTGTGAACATCTTCAATAATTATAATTGCTACAGGTACCTCGGCGCTGTTGAAGACGTGTCACTAAACACAGGGCAGGCCATACCAGGAAGAAGTCTCGAAGCTCAGCTTGTGGACAAACTTGAAGATGCGCAGGTGTGTTGGGTTCAGATGGTTAGATTGCGCGAACCTACGTCCACACTAGCCACGATTTCTGTGGACCTATAGCACAGTTTCCTCTCACCACAAGATAAGTGACATTTCCAATGTGAATCACACTAGCCTGCTCTACACTGGCTTATAGAGCCAGTGCCCACACCCTGTTAACACAGCCGTGGCATTGGTTCCCAGGCTACAATGTTGATATATTGCTTTTGATGTATATACAATTACATGCCGAGTATCATTGATAAAAATACTTTTACAGCGCAGCAAATAGCATGTACGTTGTTGTGGGATATTGTAGTTGGAAGGGAAGCTGCCATATCTTGCTCCCGAGGACTACCAAACAGTGTACGTCATTGTGTCAAAGCATGGCATTAAAGTTATGGATTCAAAGAAAAAGGTAGGTATCTTTATTTATACTAAATTCAATATTAATTAGCTCATTTGGCAGAATCAGATGGTACTATCAAGGATACTGTTCCGAATGAATGTTTATCTGTGACAGCAAGATAGATAAGATGCAGATGTCTTAAAATTTTGTTTACTGATGGTTGAACTGAATAATATTGCCACCTGTCCTTGACCTGGTTGGTATATTTATAATCAGGTCATTAATAACTTCTTCATCCTAGTGTTATTCACTTAAAAAATCATGTAACTGAAAACCTTTGTAACAACCTTCTTATTTTGAACAGCAAGTAATGCAGCGGCATCCTCTTCACGTCATAGCTCAAGCAATCCAATATTCAGATGGCTTGGGGCGGTTCAACTTGGTACTGAAGACAGTACAGCCAGGGAAAAAGACATTTGGTTGCTATGTCTTCCAAACAAGTACGGAGGCAAGTAGGGTAATATGGTTAGAATTTTGTCAATTAATATTACCAGGTAATGTGTAATCAACAAAGAATAATAATGATATAATAGGATATGGAGAAACCTTGATATATCTTTACATGGCTACGTAAGAATGTATGAATTGCATTACTACATTTCATTCACACTGTTTTCTATTCGATTTTTGTAGGAGCAAGCCATTGGAGTAGTGAAGACATTACAGCAAATGTACAGCCAGTTCACACAGCGATGACAACTGCGATTAATTATAAAAGAAAGGCATCATGCGCTTTTATATATTTATATGATATTTTACATGTACACAATATAAGAAATGTGGAGACTCAAATTTTACGTCGATTTCCAGTGTAAAATAAATAATGGATACTGATTGTGTTCCCAATCATTCATACTACCAATTATGTTTCTACTTTGTATATGTGACACTAATAATCATTGCTGAGAATCATTTTGAAACATAGTTCTTTTGACTATAATTATTTGCATTATTTTACATTCCCATTCTTACTCACTATTTGTAATTGGAAGAAAAACGTACATACATTACCTAAACAATTCATTATGCATACATAAATTGCTGTAAGTGTAAGCGAATTGTGACGGAAGCCCTAAACTATCCTGATGATCCTAGTTCATCTGGGACCCTTTGAACTGTAGTTCTTAATCCCATTCTGCATAGACGAGCGGGTGTACTTTGTCAGCAGGGCATTTACATCCATGCTGTCGGTAGCAAGGTCTCTGTGTGGGATAGAAAATTAATAGATAGGACAAACTTTTAGCATATTCATTTTTACTTACAGTTACAATATAATTGCAGTTATAATACAACTGATAACAACAATGTTCAGTTTTAAACACGCACATTCCTTGTACAATTGTAATTGTATTATTCAATTACACCAATTATCTTTTTTAGAAAATGTCAAATTAAAAACTTACTGAACAAATGGCCTTATTTCTTCAAAGGTCCACTTTTCTTTTGCAGCGAACAAGGCAGATAATCTGTATAAAAAGTAATTGCAAACTAAATTATAGCAGTTAACATACTGATATAAAGCACAACATCATGATCATGTATGTGTCCTAAGAGAATACATATGATCATGATGTTATGTATAATTTTAGACAGCTTGTATGATACAAGAAGCTAATAATAGCTAAGGCAAAAATCACAAACAACAATAACAACAACCCCAATTTACTTTATGAATAATACTGTAATATATCTATTGCTCATAAACTACTGCCTGGTCATCTCTACTTATAGACACCTTGATTTGCCAGTAGGAAATTTGTCCCCTAGGCCCAACTGATTGAACTCGCATGCTGCATAAATTCAATGAAAGTGTCAATGACACTGTAGCTCACCTTGGGTGTGATAGAAGAGGGAGGGGGGATATATATATAAAGCAAGAGTAAATATGGGAGAACTCCCATTATATAGCATATCTCCCATTATATACTCTTGATAATGATATATATGCATAAGTTTTGATGCGAAAATAAATGTTTCAGATCTGAAAGTTTGAAATCTTGACGAGAGATGGCGCTACGCCTAAATGATCGCCATTTTGCGTTTCTCGAATATTGCGCAAATAAAAACAAATAAATTATTCCAGTGATTACTGTAACGAAGAATCTAAAACACAATATTACACGTATATAGGTATGATTGTAGAGTTGTTGACCAGTTAGACGCAATAATACGTAAATAGGACGTGTCATCTCCCTATAGGGAATAACAACTGTTGTGGGGCTAGCCTCTACACATTCCATACCAAAATTTCAACAAAATCGAATGACATTTAGTATGGCCATTTTCATTTTTGCCAATAAAGTTGGGCTAAGTGCCTCAAAAGTGAGGTCGACTGTCGCGCTGCTCCAACAATACGGAAGTTCAAATCTCTCCCATAGGAGTCACAACTGTATTCAATTTGAACATGTGCGGTCAAACGCGGTTCTTGAGTTCCTCGTTGACCGTTAGGCCAGACCCTTGCCAAAATCTACCTAATTGCATAATTAAAAAAAAATATCAAAACCCGTACTGTGATATGTTTTGGGGGCCAGTCGCTTATTCATATCACCTAACTAGCAAATGAGCAAAATCCGTTGAAACGGCTGAAACTGACTTCTGGCCATTTCCATTTTGTGCCAAAAAGTTGACGTGGCTCGAACAGTAGCGTCGACTGGCTGCCTCCAAAATAGGACACGTTTCAAACCTCTCCCAATGCGTAACAACTGGCATGCAATTTGAAAACTATGTGGGTAAAACGCGTTCTTGAGTTATCGCTTGACCTAGCAGACACTGAAATGCATAGTGACATTGCCAAATCTACTAATTTGCATTAATACATACATAAAAACTCAAATCCTGTGTGATATTGCTTTGGGGCCGCTCCTCATTGATTCACATGGCCAGAAATGAGCAAAACCCTATTGAACCTGAACTGACCTGTCGGCCATTCTCCATTTTTGCCAAAAAGTGGATCGTGGCTCGAAGTCACCGGTGCTCGAATTAGGTAAAACTGCAGTTGGCCCCAAAATAGGAAGTTCAAAACCTCTCCATCAGGCAGTAACAACTATATGCACTTTGAAACTGTGGGTCAAAGCGTCTTGAGTTATCATTGACCGCTCAGCCGAAATCGTTGAGTCGGACGCGGACGACACCGGCCATGGCAATAGCTCATCTTGATGATGTCAAACCGAGCTAAACATGAAACAAGCAATAAGACGCTATGGGTTAAGATTTACACCTTTAAATCTATTGACAATACCTTTCCTGCAAATCTTCTGGAGCTCCACAACTGGAAATACCTTCCAATACGTAATCGTGTGACACGTTCTGTCATGATGGCTTATATCCTGCAAAGTACATATTGTGGCGAAAATGACAAAAACCAACGTGCATTAAACAAACGCAGTGCAGGCTGTGCGAATTAACGGGAGTCCAGAGTCAACAGAATCCCTGATTTGACATATGCAGGACGTCGCGTGTGACTCCCTGAAAATTCTGGCCATACTAACTAGTTCGTTCATGAGCACGCCTCGCGGAATTACGAATTTTTTTAAGCAAATGCTCCAAAGAAAATTTGGCGCACGTTGCAACCCGCATGAATCTTCAAAATAAGCACATGCGTTATTGTTAATATCTTTAATTTTGAACTTCAGACTGCAGACTCCCTTTTTTTTAGGGCAATTCAGGCCGTGTTCAAAAGTTAATTTCTCCCTGCAGTGCTACGCTTCGCGTCATCCATTACCATAAGCTCATCACACGATTCCCAAAATCACGTCACGATGGCCACGCGGCCACGCCCCCTTTCAAATCGCTTCTGACTTCATATAGGATTTACTATTGCTTCAAAAGATTACAACAGAAACCACAGTCTTTTGGATAAAATACCTAAGGTAAGTAATATTAGTATTAAAACAAACCTTATTTGTTTATGGGTTTTACTGAACAAATATAGTTCACATAAGAATCTATCATGACCGGGACACATAGCCTGGAGGGCTGGCGCGTCCGTAACGCGGACCCGCTAGCCACAAGCCTTAACAAAACGTTTTGCCAAAAATGACAACTGCATCGAAAATGCTAACCTGTATTTTGATTAGACTAGTCGTCATCCCTTCGGGGACCGCCTGCTTTCCACGCCATCATGAACCTCATTGGAAGTTTTAAAAACTGAAACCAGACGGTTGATAGCATGCTTACAATTTCTTTCTGTCAAGTTACTTATATCCACAATGCTGACGCAGCAGCTGTTTCCCGGCCATCGACCCTCCGTCTCCTCTCGCGCTCCTCTCCGGCTCTCCACACATTCATACGGTAGATGTACCAGTTGAGCACGCACACCGATATTTAGCGGATTTACAATTCACTTCGACTGCAGGTCATTTATCCACAAGCGACTACAGCCTGTCCTCATCGACTCTCTTGCCCGTCTCCTCTCATCGCTCACGCGTGTTCTGCTCGCCGCTCACGTTTCCCTCTCTCGCTCACGTTTCTCCTCCCTCTCGCTCACTGTTTCTCCTCTCTCACCTGCCGTTTCCTCCTCTTCGCTCACGTGTCTCCTCTCTCGGCTCAACGTTCTCCTCTCTCCGCCTTCCGATTCTCCCTCTCTCAGCTCACGTTTCCCCCTCTCCCTCGCTCACGTTTCTTCCTCTCGTCGCTCACGTCTCTCGCTCTCTCGCTGCACGCTGTCTCCTCTCTCGCCTTACCGTGCTCCTCCTCTCTCAGCTCACTTGTGCTGCTGCTCTCGCTCACTTTTCTCCTCTCGCCCGACGTGTCCTGCTCTCTCCGTCGGTCCTGTCTCTGCTACGTGTCTCCTCAGTCTCCTCTCCGCTCAGCGTATTGCTCCTCTCTCCCTTCTCGTTTCTCCTCTCTCGCTCACGTTTCTCCTCTCTCGCTCACGTTTCTCCCTTTCTCGCTCTCGTTTCTCCTCTCTCGCTTACCGTTTCTCCCTCTCGCTCACTTCTCCTCTCTCCGCCTCCACGTGTCTCCTCTCCGCTCACCGTTTCTCCCTCTCTCGCTCACGTTTCTCCTTTTCCGCTCATGATCTCCTCTCCGCTCACGTGTCTGCTCTCTCGCTCCAGTTTCTTCGCTCTCCTCGCTCACGTTCTCCTCTCTCGTACCTCACGTTTCTCCTTGTCTCACTCCACGTTTCTCCTCTCTCGTCCTCACGTGTTTCTCCTCTTCTCGCTTACGCATGCTCCTTCTCGCGCTCACTTGTCTGCTCTCTCGCTAGCGATTCTCGCTCTCCTCGCTCAAAACGTGTCTGCTCTTCGCTTCACGATTCTCCTCTCTCCGCTCACGTTTCTCCTCTCTCGCTCACGCTTTCTCCTTATCTCACTCACGCTTTCTCCTCCTCCGCTCACGTTTCTCCTCTCTCGCTCACGTTTCTGCTCTCTCGCTCACGTGTCTGCTCACTTCGCTCTGCTCGACGTTCTACCTCTCATCCGCTCACCGTTTTCTCCTCTCTCGTCTCACGTTTCTCCTTTCTCGCTCCAGTTTCTCCTCTCTCGCCCGTGTTGTCCCTCTCCTCGCTCACGTGTCCCCTGCGTCGCTCGCATGCACGTTTCTCCTTTCTCGCATCACAGTTTCTCCTCTCTCGCTCACCGTGTCTGCTCTCTCGCCTCACGTGTCTGCTCGCTCGCTCCGGTTTCTCCTCTCGCCGTCACGTTGTCTCCTCTCTCCGCTCATCGTTTCTCCTCTCTCGCTCACTCTGTCTCCTCTCTCGCTCACGTTTCTCCTCTCTCGTTCACGTTTCTCCTCTCTCGCTCACGTTCTCCTCTGCTGCCGTCACGTTTCTCTATCTCTCGCTCTCGTTTCTCCTCTCTCGCTCACATTCTTTTTCCCCCTTTCCATCTCTCGCTCACGTTTCTCCTCTCTCGCTCCGTTCTCCCCTCGCTCACAGTGTCTGCTCGCTCCGCTCACGTTTCTCCTCTCTCGCTCACGTGTCTGCTCTCTCGCTCACGTGTCTGCTCTCTCGCTCACGTTTCTGCTCTCTCGCTCACGTGTCTGCTCTCTCGCTCTCGTTTCTCCTCTCTCGCTCACGTGTCTTCTCTCGCTCACGTGTCTGCTTTCTCGCTCACAATTCTCCTCTCGCTCTCGTTTCTGCTCGCTCGCTCACGTTTCTCCTCTCTCGCTCACATTTCTCCTCTCCTCTCTCGCTCATATTTCTCATTGACCTTCCTCTCCTCTCTCGCTCACGTTTCTCCTCTCTCGCTCTCGTTTCTCCTCTCTCGCTCACGTGTCTGCTCTCTCGCTCACGTTTCTCCTCTCTCGCTCACGTTTCTCCTCTCTCGCTCACGTTTCTCCTCTCTCGCTCACGTGTCTGCTCTCTCGCTCACGTTTCTCCTCTCTCGCTCACGTTTCTCCTCTCTCGCTCACGTTTCTCCTCTCTCGCTCACGTTTCTCCTCTCTCGCTCACATTTCTCCTCTCCTCTCTCGCTCATATTTCTCATTGACCTTCCTCTCCTCCCTCGCTCACGTTTCTCGTTGGCCGCAGCAGCTCCTCGGCGAACATCCGGCAGATCTTGTCTTCGTCGAGACTGACGACCGCGTCCTTCGCGTCGCTCGCTCCGTCCGGCGGCGGCGACGACGCGCGTCTGCCGAACCAGTGCATGCAGCGGTGCAGCACGCGCCTCGGCTCCAGCTCCTGCAGCACGTCCAGCGTCGCGGCGAGCGGCACGGCGGCGTGGCTCCACGAGTTCTCGTCGACGTACGACAGGATGCGATTCATGACCGTCGACGTGTAGTCGAAGTCGAGCATTCGCCAGTAACCTGCGCGAGTGAAATCTCCTCTGTCATCGGGGTTGGACGTCAAAAGGATGTGATATGACATATCATATGTGAGTATATAAATATCAGGGAAAAAATTTCCTTTTTTTTTTTCACGGGAGCTCTTTTGCAAGTCTGTGGGAAAAATAGCTCCCGTCAAAATTTTTACGGGAGCTAATTTGAGCCTCACGGGAGCGATTTCGGAAGTTTGAAGAGCGAATCGCTCATTGCTCCCGTGTATTTTTTACCCTGATATATATATATACATATATTTGATGCACACAGAGACGTGACATAAGTACGGTGTCACATTCAAAAAACAAAATGAATAAATGCAGTTGTATAATGCAGCCAAAAATCCAAGCCAAAAATCAATTTTCCAGTAAATTTAGACACGACACCAACATGGTATTTACACTCTCCAGAATTTTATGCAACACATTACATACCGTCTATCTCACAAGCATGTAGATTTTCTAATGCAGTTAAGATTTCTTCTTCACTGGCTTGTATTTGATCAAGGAGGTCATCAAATGTGTACTGCAATAATAATAGGTACAAATGCTCAAGTACTCAAAAGGGTGTAATTGCCCTGCGCGAGTTAAAGAACTAATACTGTAGCATACATACAATCTAGTGAATTTCTAGAATAACACAATATTCTATCACAATTAAACTACAATCAAATTTAAAGTGGCTTAGATTACAAACTAGATTTCATAAAATGATGCGCCTAGACATTGTCAATGAATTTTGTTCTGTTCCAGTCTGTACATATCAATGAAAATACAAACTGCAGTTTTTTTCCTGCATGCAAACCTGACTCGGCAATTATTAAACTTTGATGTCCTTAGGAAACATTTTCAATGCCACCCAACCCACAATTCGATGCCTAAACAAGCAAACCTTTCTTCCCGAATCGTTATCCATCAGTTCATATTCTGTGCCTCGGTAGACATTTTCCGAAAGCATTCTCCTCAGTTTCTGTAAACGAGGTTTACATGGACGCAGCTCGTAGTACTGGTGAAGCATAGCAGACACCTACTTGCAAGCAAACATAAGAATTTACACGAACTGCTGGTAAGAGCAAGCATAAAAATACTAATCTTAGATATAAGGACCACAGACCGAATAACAGACACACAGTATGTAAAATTCTTTGGAAAAGAAGTGTGTGGGACTTTTTGAAGCTGTGCATGTGCACAAGATTCCTATATCCCGTGAAACGGGTATATAGCGGTCCCTCATAGGAAACTTCAAGTGTCCTTGATAGAAAGGTGTCTGTTCTATAGAAGTGGTTTTACTGCAGCATTCAAGGCACATGCTAAGTATCCATTATGAACAGTTTCCATTCTGCAGAGATGTTCGTTAACAAACGTTTAGCCACAACTATTGCTCAAGCGAACTGAGACAGCCAGAGTCATCCTGACATGTAATAGTAAAATTTCCATACCGTCACAGGCGTCACTTTTCGCGTCACATCCGAGCCACAGTCTTCTAAATCGCATGCAAGTTTGCACTGAGGTAAGAGGAGGAGAGAGTTTGACGTTTCGGCTTCCTTCAGTTCATACGTCTTTGAAGAGGTGCATACCACGGCATGTTCATTCTTGTCACCTCTTATCACCAAGCTATAACGCAAAATTGTAAACAATTGAATTTTCTCAGAGCCAATTGGCCATGGAGTGAGCAAGTACTTATTATTTATGTCACTGTAGTGCTGCCAATGTGTAAGCACCACAGTGGGGTGTATACAAAGCTTTAGTAATCAATATAAGTAATATTAATAGGGTATAAGAAATGCCCTTAGTAATATTTCTGCAGTTGAATAGTTATATATGCTGTATTATCCTTTTTAGAAACTGCATTGAGTGTTTGATAACCACAATCAATCCTGGAATCCTTAGTATTTTTCAAACTCCAACTATAGTCCGTGATAATGGTAAATACCTAGTGCCTGCCTCTAGTGATTCTAACAGCTCAGAATCTAGCTCCAACAGTTTGATGTTAGAATTGTCAAAGTTGGATGAAAAGAACACTGCTTGCGTCTCTCGGTGAAGTTCATCTGGATTTAGTTTTGCGTTAACGATGACCTTTTCAACCTGCTCAGCTGTCCTCTCCATTAGATTCCTGCAAAACATTCGAGAAAAATAATGTCAGATGTAATGGTAACACGTCTATTGCTGCGTTTACACTATTGATTTTTGTCAGGAAATCGTACCGATTTCAAGTGCATTCCAACTAATCGGTTCAAATTCGATTGTGTTGGAGTCGGAGTCGGAGTCAAGTCGCCGAGTTGGAGAAATAGAACATGTTCTATTTTGCACGACTCGGACGATTTGCTGACAAAAATCGATAGTGTAAACGCAGCTTATCAGAGACCAGGATTGACACTAGGATGCAGATCTACTGCACTAACGCATGTGGGTTCGATGGGCTTATTGTGCATGTGTGCTTATACACGTCTACAAAAAGCACTCCTCCTCCCGGGGCAGGGACCAGGTTGCCTAACCATAGGTATAGGCACTTGAAGTTGTGCTGACTACTGTAGTGTAGCCTGTAGAGTCTGCATGTCGCAGAGTCTAACCCTAATTCCTGACTTGGCTATTGATGATATGTTCAAATATCTAGCTAGATATTGATGTAAGCGTAACAGGACGATAGTTGCTCGGAACGCTCGATCCTATTGCCCTTCTTAAAAACTGGTGTGATGTTAGCCGTTGTCCAATCTTTAGGAAGGTGTCCAGTATCGAGAGATTGTTGGTAGATGAATGAAAGGATAGGTGACAGAACAGGAGCTGCAATCTTCGTTATCCTTGCTGGAATCTGGACCTGAAGCCTTGTCTGGTTTTATGTCTTGGAGGAGTTTCCGTACGCCCTTCTAAGTGACGGATATGTCTGGCATATCAGGTGTGTTGGACTCTTTTTTTCCAGGCATGCTACTTAAATCTTCCTGAGTAAAGACTGACTTGAATTGATTATTGAGTGCGATTGCCTTCTCCTTGGCAGTCGTCGCTATCTTTCCCAAGGATTTCAGAGGATCAACCCCTAGGCATTCCTGCTTTTTACTTTTGACATACCTCCAGAAAGTCTTGGAGGTTGTGTCAACAGATGGAGATACTCCACTTTAGGCACCTTAGCCTTAGGTATCACGAAGTGATGCACAGATCATCAACTGATGCACAGACTTTCCGTATATCAAGGAATGATGCAAAAACCCTAACCCTAACCCTAACACACTTTGTGATACCTAAGGTTATACTTTATGACTTAGGGTTAGGGTTAGGGTTTTTGCATCATTCCTTGATACACGGAAAGTCTGTGCATCAGTTGATGATACACAGAAATGTGTGCATCACTTCGTGATAGGCTAAGCCTAAGGCTAAGGTGCCTAGGCTAAAGCCGTAAAGGCTAAACTCTAAAGTGGATTTGCGCCCATTTTTCGAAGGTCGTATCTCAACTAAGGGTATACACAGGAAAATATATCTGAGGGGTATTAAACCAAAGAATAGAGAACTAGATATATAATTATTAGATTTCCCTAATTACAGATAAAATTTGAAGTAATATAAACACGTTTGAAACTTACGCGTCGTTTCGTCGTTTCGTCGTTTCGCGCCATTTGTTGTTATACCTCTCTCTCTATTTCATTGCTCTGTTGCTGTTTATTTTTTAAACAGAGTAATTCGACTGGGGACAACATAATTACATAACCTATATGGTATCAATTATGGCTTAATTAATGACGTTATAAACTACGTTGTAATCTATTGAAAGGCATCTAAAACATCTACATTATTCAGCATGCATCGACCGTGAGAGGGTATTTATCAAAAAAGCATGGCTTGCCAAATTAATATTGTTGATGAGCAGCATGAAAATCAGTATGTAAATACCATGGACGACAATGTATTTGAAAAGAATCATATGGACATATATATCGCTGGAGAGCAGTTAAGGTTAGAAATAAAAAATTGAATATGTATTAACACTGTCCTGCTTAATTTGATTTTGATCACACATGTTTCAACTAGACCAATAAATTGTGCCCTAAAAATTTTTATATTCTGGTGTTATTTTAGGTATTTTAGGTATTTAGGTATTTTAGGTATTTAGGTATTTTAGGTATTTTAGGTATTTTAGGTGTAGTTTTACCTAAAATAACACCAGAATATAAAAATTTTTAGGGCACAATTTATTGGTCTAGTTTCAACTTGAACTAAATTAGTATACTATAGTAATTAGTATTACTATTACTATTAGTAATGATAATTTATGCCTATATTTCGAAACCGTGTCTCGACTCGAGTTCAACTTTGTAAACATAATTTTAGGTAAACCAAATGGCTACATAGGTAGGCCTACTTGCACTGCGTTCCTCTGCAACATATTGTCACCTCACACTAGATAATCTTGCGAAAAATTGCCTTTCCATGGCAATGTAATTTAAACACTGGAGTGCGTCGCTGTACGCGGCAGATAACTGCGCTTATTTGCGAGCAGGGCTAGCATGCACGCCGAGGGCAGTCTCATCGCACAGCGGCAGCAACAGACAATCACATTCAACGTGTGCTTCGTTGGATTCGAAACCGTCGAGTGGCTGGTGAAAGCGCGGCACGTAGACTCGCGACGCTCAGGCGTTAAGCTGCTGCGCATCCTTGGTGACAACAACATCATCCACCACGGTACAGCAGCCCCTCGTGTCAGTCTACTAACGTAGTGTGCTCTAATTCGTAATCATTATCAGTTAAGTGAATTTCGGTTATCGATCGTTAAGGACCTAGCTGTCTAAACTTAGTATTTTGTGAGGATTTTTCGTCCTAATGTTTGTTGATGGGAAATGCATTCATTCAGCTATACAAGCTGACATTCATATAAAACAATGTTGTCGTGTTAAAGTGTCAATGGTTGGTTTTGCAGTGACAGATCAACAGTCATTTTTCGACGACAACAACTTGTACCGGTTTCGAAGAGACGACGCAACATTTTCAAAATTTGATGATTTGAGTGTTTTCTTCAAAGGACTTAAGCTATACAGCAGGTAGCTACTATAATTAATGATGATTATGCTAAAAATAAAAAAATAAATTATTAATAACAATAATGTAGGTCAGGCAGTGTATTTTTTCGTGCGAAAGAGGCTCTACAGCGAGGTTTGATTATTACGGAGAGAGTGTTTACGAGGTATGGTCTTACACTAAGTTGCAAGAAGACAGAGTTGATGGGCTTTAATGGTAACACCGATGAGACAACAGCTACAACTCTGGTCAAGCTCGATGACCAAGCTCGATGACCATAACATCGTTAACACTACGGAGTTCAATTAAGTATCTTGGCGTCCTGTTTTCCTCTCTCGACTCCAAAAAGTTTGTCCAACACCATATCGCGTCAGCTGTAGCAAAGTTCGCAGAGTTGAGGCAGGTGCTCACAAACCATCGAGTGCAGCTGAAGACAAGAGGGAAATATATGGCCGCCTTCATAAGATCACGGTTAATGTATAACGTGGCAACATGGGACTTGAACGCTGGCGTCATGGCCGAACTGGAGGTTGAATGGGTAAGACTCCTCTGTAAAACAGTGCGCAGAAGCTTCAAACGGCACCAAGCTCTACCTCCGGGTCTCTCTGATGGCGAGAGGGCGGCAGGGGACTGGGACTATGCATTCATCTACCCCAAAAACGGTTCTTGAGTTATCGTTGACCATAGGCAGACACTGAAATGCATAGTGAAATTGCCAAAATCTACCTAATTTGCATAATAATAATAAAAAATCAAAACCTGTGTGATATGCTTTGGGGCCAGTCCTCATTGATTCACATGCCAGAAATGAGCAAAACCTATTGAACCTGAACTGACTTGTGGCCATTTCCATTTTTGCCAAAAAATGGACGTGGCTCGAATTTGGTCAACTGGCGTGCTCCAAAATAGGAAGTTCAAACCTCTCCCATAGGAGTAACAACTATATGCAATTTGAAACATGTGGGTCAAACGGTTCTTGAGTTATCATTGACCGTAGCGAAATGTTGACGGACGGACGGACAGACGGACGGACGGACGTACGACGGACGACACCCCATGGCAATAGCTCATCTTGATGATGTCAAGACGAGCTAAAAATGAAACAAGCAATAAGACAGTATGGGTAAGAATTACACCTTTAAAATCTATTGACAATACCTTTCCTGCAATCCTTCTGGAAGCTCAACAACTGGGAAATACTTCAATACTATCGGGTGACACGTTCTGTCAATGATGGCTATATCCTGCAAAGTACATATGTGGCGAAAATGACAAACCAACGTCTTTAAACAAACGCAGTGCAGGGTGCGAAATTAACGGGAGTCCAGAGTCAAAGAATCCCTGATTTGACATATGCAGGAGTCCGTGTGACTCCCTGAAAA